GAGAGAGAGAGAGAGAGAGAGAGAGAGAGAGAGAGAGACCCACAAAGGTTTATGGACTGCCGACAGCAGCAGGGAAGGAATCCAAGGTTTAAGCCCTATGAAATGTGCTTTCGATTTGCAATTGAAAATATCAAGTTTCATGCCGATTTGTGCTTTCGTTCGATAAACTGTCACCTGCACATCATGTTTTGTAACATCCCCTACGACCTATGTAAATGGCATCTCTGTTCTTCTTCATATATATATATATATATATTTTCCAAAATTGTTGTTCACCATCAACTATTGCACGTTGTGTTTGTGTGATGTGGCTATGCACGAGATTCATGATGTATAACAGACATCAGCACTAAATGGAGAGATAAACAGAAAATCGAAACGAAGGGACTTGATTAACCTCAACATTGTTGGAAAGCAAGACAAGGGCGTATGTTGTATGCGATCGTAAATGAAAAACAACATGAGATTAGGTATACATCCACTTTGCGTGTGTTTGATTGGCAACCACAGTGCGGAGAAGGAAAACATAAAATTAACAAGGCTCACAGTTCGAGCACCAAACCATCCAGACACTCGGTTTGCATGCACATCATAAGGAAATTGAACCATTTCAATGCACAAAACAACATGAATAGACTGCACGTGCAAATATTGATTGCTTTCGCCGAATGACGAAAGTGCACCCCGAATAAAACATACAAACCAACTACCCACCTCCGACTGGTATGTGTCGAGCATGACCACGAAATCGCCATCCCTATCGATTACACGGTCCTTGAAAATCATCTAACCCTAAATGCAGTCCCACGTGTTCACACGTGCCAGGGCTCTACAACAAAAGAGATTGTCACATCTACTAGCGGAGGAGCCGCATACAGCGAGTGAGTGCCGCACACAAGTCCAACGCCGCTTCACTCTCATCCGCTTCAGACACCGGGACCGTGGGTTCATGCATGTTGAGATCGATCGACTACTTATTCCCGTTTGCGTCTCTCTCCATTAGCAAACGCTGGTCGAAGTCGATCCCTACCTCGATGAGCAGGTTGTGGACGATGCAAACCGTGGAAAATTGTTGGGGCATGTTATCCATGTTCGTTTTGTGATGCTCGAGGAATAACCTCCACATGCCCTTAACCGGCCAAAAACTTTCTCCACAACGTTCCTTGGAATCTTGTGGCACATGTCGAAATACGCCTCATCATCGCGCTGCACCACTCCGCCATAAGGCACCACGAGCCATGCCAAGGGGTCATAGCCATTGTCCCCAACCACGTACCCTGTGGTCCGAACCCCCCTGGGAAGAGTAACGGCCTCCGTCGTGAACAACGTGCTTACCTCCTCACACCCTCATAACGAGGAGTTCCACAACACCCTCACGTCGTGGATGTTGTCGGGGTACCCGGCACACACGTCGATGACGCACTTGTCCAAATCACCACTTAAGCCATGACCGAGTGTTGTTGTTTGCGATTGTAGTAATTCTTGGACGCACATTAGCGGGTTTATCCACATACATGTGGGTGGAACCCATGCAACCATAGCAGTTCGCAAAGCCTTTCATCGTGAACGTGCTCGTAACTTGGAGCAACCGTTGACCGGTTGGCATGAGTAGCTTGTCGGGGTATGGCGACAAGATGGCATTCGTAACATCTTTTACCGCCTTGATTCGAGACTACCTCCCCATGCCGAAGGAAGACGTCGCGCTGTTGAAGTTCTCGTCAGACGCCCATCTATAGAAACGAACGCGACCAGCTATTCAAGCTGCAAAGGACTACAGTAGTGGGTGAGCCGGTGATGAAGATAGGGTGCACAAGCGGCGGCGATCTCCTGGAAGGCACGTCTCGTCATCCTCAATTTCCTGTGATAATAGTCTTCCGACGCATCATCGTTGATGCCTAGATCTTGCCCGGTCCCCTTGTCCTCCTCCTAACCCACCACCTCGACGTATCCCTCGGCAACATTCCAGCAAAGATGGAATTAGCCATGAGGAAAGGCGCATCCCGAACGATGGCAGAGAATACTGAATCCACCATCGCCTGTGTGACAACGGCCTCCCTCGCCCCAAGTCTTCTCGCCGCTTGCTGTCTCAACCCATTCGTCGTTTGAATGTGGTTGGACATTGTCACTAAGGTTGTCACTACCAATCGGTTCTCCCATTTTGTCAGCCCTCCACGCCCACCTTCCTCACCACGCCCTGCCATGCCACCAACGTCCATCTCGCACATCAACCTCAACTTCGAACCCCCTCTCGCTGCTGCCGACGACTGCACACTAAAGACTCCGAATAGCTCTGCAATGCTTTCATGTACACGAAGGACCGAAGACAGCTTGCCCGTCAACCTCCGCTTCGAACCCCCTCTTGCTGCTGCCGACGACGACACACTGAAGACTCCGGATAGCTCTGCAACGCTTGCACATACACGAAGGACCAAAGGCAGTGAGGTTTCAAGGAGCGAACGCCTGTGGCTATTACCACCGCCGGCGCAAGATACCATGGCGGAGGAAATTTTGAATTAAAAAAACAACAACGTTATGGACGATGGTACCAGCAGCGGTCCCACATACCACTGGGTCAGCCAGAAGACGAACATCTTTTCGTCCAGGGGCCACACTGCAGGATATCACGTCCCTCACCAGCTCCCCGTGAAACGGGGCCGTAGGGTGTTTTCGTTTCAAGAGTGCCGATTTCAAGGGCGGCCTCTCATTCACATGGAGCGAAGATTCTTCATAGTGGAAATTAATTTCCCCTAACCCCTTTTTCAGTTTCACAGCCCCTAGACAAAACCCTTGAGATGTCGCCCTAGAGACTCGAGTGCTGATGACAGGCAACGCTTCGTGAAGAGGGGAAGGGCAAGGGCACAGGGAGTAAAAAAGGGGGGTGGCTAGGCAGAGAATCCGAGATCAGAAATGATAAGAGGGTTTAAGGGGAAGAGGGTATAGGGTTTAACGGGGTTCAAATGGGTCAGGCATGATACACGCATGTTACAGGGGAGCTGCCGAATTGGGCTGCGTGAATGGTTAGAGGCCTCTAAGACTGGGTTGGGTGTTATCAGCAGCTCCATGGGATAAGAGGGAGCGAGACCACGACCACAGACGAAGACAGCCCACAGCCCAAGGATTACAACAACAACAGCACAAAATCCGACGGAAAAATCACATGACATACCTCACATTTTTCACACTATTGTGAGAGCAACTCCATATGTACAGTATAAGACACAAGGACAGTACACCACAAATTCACAAATAGTAAGGTCTCAAACAATGGTTGACAATCTGTGACATATTCATTTCCCATATTGCAAATAGGATCGCTGGACCCAATTTCCAACAGGTATTGGAGCCTCCCCGAAGGTGCTTGAGGTGTCTGCATTCATCAGCACCCCAAGCAACAGTTCGGGCTGTTTCTTGTAAAAAAAAAAAAAAAAAAAAAAAAAAAAAAAGGAACAGTTGTGGTTCGTGGAAAATTACTGGAAAAAATAAAAGAGAAAATTGTTGAAATACCCCTAAAACTTTGGGTCCCTTGTTAGGTACCCCTAAAACACAGGGGTACGCTGAAATGCCCCAAATTTCTGCATCTGCCTCTGTCACGCCCATTCGCCATATGTCCTGGCCCTGGGCTGCAGGGACTGGGCTGCAGGGATTCATGCATTTCTTTCGCTATTTGCAGGGTCCAACGACCTCAGATACCGGGGCATATAGGCAAGTTGCCCAGGGCCCAGTAGGGGTATATGAAAAGATGACAGGTCCAATTGGCAAGTGGGGTATTTCTCAAAGTTTCACTAATATCATAGGGGTGTTTCACCATACCCATACCTTTTAGGGGTATCTGATGAAACACCTAAACATTCAAGGGCATTTAAGCAATTTTACCGAAAAACAAAATCCTTGTTTTATGCAGTTTTTAGGGTCCAGCCCTCACTTTTTTTTTTTTTGAAGAACAACCCGAAGGGATGCTAGGTTTGCTGATAAGAGCAGACACATCTAGCACCGTCGGGGAGGCTCCATCTATTGGTGGGGAGCATCACCTGCTGGAAATCGGGTCCAGCATCCCATTGGATACAACTGTATGGCACACTGTTTGTCGGGCATATGGCCATTAGAGTTCTTACCCCTGAGCACCCATCTTCCCCTAGGGGCTGCTTATGTCACCCATCCAATTGGCAGAGCGCCCACTACCCGCTGGCCTAGCCCCACCGAGTATGGTGCCCGCCGTACATCAATGTCTCCAATCCTCCTCTGGGCTCCCATCCTCAGTGCGGCACCCTTGAGATTTTCTTCGTTTTGGCTAGTTCGCACTTGAAAAGTTAGGCCAGACCCTGAAGATACAAAATGTGGAAACATTCGTAGTTCCAAATCGCCGTAATTAGGGAGGGGTGGAACGAGGCTTTCTTGAAAAACACCAAATCTCGAGTGGTGTGGACCGTAACAATATATACACCAATAACTTATGGCGCAATGGCAGAAAGTCAAAAATCGGCTGGATCTGTTTCAAGCTCAGAAAGATATAAAACAAATAATCCAACAAATCTCAGGGGACTGGCTGGGCGGCGAGGATGGGGGCCGAATCGCCTGCATCAAGTGGGATGGCGGACGTGCCCAGGAAAGCGACGAAGGACAGGATGGCAACGGAGAGATGATCAAAAGCGACTATCAAATCTGCTTCAACCCGCACCTGATTTTAACGAACCTGAATTTCACTGCGCACCGAGTTTTGCCGAGCCTGGGTCCCGTTGTATTTCTTTTCTCGTACTCCCAAACGAACAACATGAAAAAGAGAAAAGAACCGAAAAAAAAAAAACGCAACAACGCTATGAACAAGAAAGCAGTGGGATACAGAATCAGGGGTCAGTGTGAGAGTATGCCCTCAGTGAGGGCGTTTACAGCTCCTTGTCCATCACGGACGTAACTTTCAGCAATGAAAAGCAAAAAAAAAAAGCAACAAAATATGGACGTGAAACAGGCTAGATACAGAATCTGAGTTTATGCCCTCTTTGACAAGTTGTCAGAAGTCGGTGCACTGTTCCCTGCCCCGCGTTTATCACAGAGGTTCCTTTCTGAAATGAAAAGCAAAACAACAACAACAACAACAAAAGCCGGTTAGATACAGGATCTGAGTATATGCCCTCTTTCACAAGTTGTCAGAAGTCCGTGCATTGCTCCCTGCCTCGCTGGCAGGGAGCCGAAAAAAAAACAGAAGAAGATACAACCNCCCCCCCCCCCCCCCCCCCCCCCCCCCTTAATACAAGCCATAGGTGCAGTTAGATTCGTTCCTGAGCGTTGTAGTGTGAGCACACCTCCTTCAAGGCCTTCCCCGACCTCATCTCAACTTGCAGTTTTTTTTTTGTTTTTGTTTTTTTTGGGCGCAGTTTCTTCTTCTTTTTTTTTTTGCGTGCCTACCCTTCCCCGACCCCCGATCTTTTCGGAATGAGTCGTCGTCAATGAATTTCTTTTGCCTGGGCGGTGTACTTGTGGTTTAACAAAACATCCTCCACTGGTGATAGGGGTGCTGATACGAGCAGACACCGCTACCACCCGGGGAAATCTTTGAAGATCTGTCTTCTGATAGGCGCGACTTTCTGCGCTATTGAACCTTGGGGTGGTCAGATGGGCCTGAGTGCATGAACGCCCCCATTCCTTGTTTCTTTTTTCTCTGTTTTGCGAAGAGCTTGGTCCCACAGCTGTTCGTGTCAGGACATGCCTTAGCGAGCACAGGGTTAACGGCTGACATAACGTTTTCCTTCTTTTTGGGAAATTTCGGCGAGTTTGGGCACGACCATCGCGCAGGGGAATCTTATTGAATTTTGAACTCTCTGGAAAGAATGCGGGAGACCGCGCGGGCACTCGAAATTAGGACTCTAAGTAGACTAGGATTTTGAGGACATCGTACTCTTTTTTGTAATCAAATGATGCTCCTTACTCCCGTGCGCTTTGCTGCACCCTGTCCTGCACTCTATTCCCGCCGCAAATCTCAACTATGATTTCCTCTTGTTCCGTTCTTGGCGAGTGTGAGTGTAAATGTAATCTCTCCCTCTAGGCTTCTCTTCGCGCCAAAACGTGCGGCCCCTTCCCCTTCGTCTCATTGGCCAGAGTGGTGCCCACACCGCCGACCAGGCATGCCGACCGTAGGCACCTCCTTTCTTTCTCTCTACCCTTGCCTCAGCGTAATCTTCACTATCTCGCACAAATGCTAATAGCTATAAATTTCGCAAGCGGGACAAAATCGGTCTCTAATCTAAAACTTTGGGGAGTTAGCTAGATCGAGAGGATCTGCTAACAAGTACGAGCATGGAAAGAGGTGAGCTCAGAGTTGGGCGATCCGACAAGCTGGTGGCGAGTGTGGGGGGTTGACATGTGGTCGCGACGGACTGTGGAGCATGGGCGAACCGCGCGTGCATACTCGGGCTAGGCGGGGTCCGAGTTGTTGGTAGGTGCGAGACAACGGACTACCTGCATCGGAGCACGAAAGAGGATGGTGAAGCAGTGAGAGCGAGTGGGGTGCTGAGGTGTGTGGGGACTTCTCTCCTGGCTCTCCAAAAGTATTGGTTTCGTCTTTCATCATTTTTGCTTTTGTAATTGCAGACTTGTGTATGATTGTGTGAATCCCTCTTCTTTGGATTTTCTCTCCTACCTTTTTCCTGTTACGGACAATGTCGTGTGCGATAATTGCGGCCTGATCTTCTCCAGTTGATATGCATAATTCCTGGCGTCGGAAGACTAAATGTTTGAAGAATGTGGATGCATGCATAACAGTGGTAAAAAGCCAAAAGATGGTCACCTCGAGTTGCTTTGTGAACGGATTTCGTGCCACGTCTGTACATTACAGTCGGCCAGTAAACGCCCGTCCAGTAAAACGCCCATCACGTCTACGCGCGCTTGGACAAGTTACGCCCGTCAAGGCCGTACTACTGGTACCCTTCTGCATGGATAGGAATGGCAGCAATACTGTGAATTCGTAGCATGGAGTTCGGTGTCCCTTTTCGATTAAAGGATCACGAATACCCTTACAGGGTGTCGGGCTTCATCTGACGGGGTTGTACTGAGGCTAAGCATCACGACTATCGCTTTCAGCTGAAACCATCCACTTCAGACTCTGAGATATACAAGTTCCATGGGGACCGTTTGTTGAGCAACGAGATATCGATCGTATTCCTCCCGTACACCGCATATGGCCCCATCCTAGGCACCAAAACCGACCATCCTGAATACCCAGCCATGAAAGCCACGAACTGAAAAAGGCCCTTTTCGTCTGGACCTCTTGCACTTCTGTCCTCGGAACCGTGGCACGGGAGATCCCAGTTCTGACCTGGACCTTCTCCCCACTTTCCTAAAATCCTTGGCACACGCCCTTTTTGTTTTGCAACCTTCGTGCCCACTCCCAATCCGATCAGGACGTCGCGCTGGGCGTGAGGTTGGGCGTCACAGTACGTCGAGGTTTCAGAATAAGTGCTGAATAGCAAACCATTGAATCCGAAAGGACCAGAGAAACCTGAAGTTAGGCACAAAAACGGAGTGCAAATCTTTACCAAAAACAAGGATAGGGGGACAGCATAGGACACGAAAGTCGACCAGCCGTGAAGAACAGCCAAGATTCAAGACCGAAAAAAAAACACGG